TGGGGAAAAGTACCTCCTCCGCACGTATACGGTTGTTCATTAGGGTTAACGGTGTTCCGTACCGGCTATCAAAGGTGTTCCGTACAGACCGAATAACTTGATTCATAACTTGATCAATGGCGAAAATGGACGTTATTACATGTACCATATGTGAGTTATTAATTTATTTTAACAGAGAGGAAGTTATTTAAATTATTAATAAAGGTCAGGACATTTAATTTGTTGAAAACACAAGTTAATTACTGCTTTAATAAGCTAGAAGGCACGTGAGTTAAGCATGAACCATTTAAATTGATAGTGAACAACATTACCATATCTTTCTGAAGAACAAGAATAAGGGCAAACAATGTGCATTTGTTAAAATTTTGTTAACCTTATCTTAATCCTTTATAAATATAAACATCATTGCGCACAGGGTTGCCTTGCAAACAGCGTCTGTGTCGACAGACGTGCTGCGTCTTTGCTGCCTGTCTCAGTGTGAGAGTGGCGCCAAGCGGTCATTGCCTGGAATTGATGTTTAAAAAATCCTATTTCAAAGAATTTATTCAACAAAATGTAATATATTTAATGATTTGTGATAAAATAATAATCATTTCATGAAGACTATAGTACTGTGAGAATCATTAATTCAAACTAAATGTACATTTTCGCTGCTGTAGTAGTCTCCCCACCCAAGCTGCTTTTTGGACTGTAGCTTGCCCACCTTCCATTTTCAAGCGCAGTGGGCGCACCTAGCAAACTTACAGAAATCACACTGAAACAAGCGGTTTTTGGTCGGGAATAAAAGAGGGGGAAATTATGATTACACACATATATAGTTTATGTATAACCTGGAAGTATTTATTCAGCGATCGGCGGGAAAAGCACATCTGTACGGAATATCGTTGTGTAGGGAACATGGTTAGTCTACGTTAGATTCACTTGGGCTGGACTACACTCCGACACTTGACCGTGCTCACAGAAGTCTGCTGCCTAAACCCAAACAGGGGAACCCTGAATGTTTTGAATGTGTGCATCAACCATGATGTCAGTATCTATCTAGGCAGGTGGGGTTACTTGTAATCAGAGGACAATGGCCAAAATATGAGGTATTAAGGTGCAGATAGACTTTCTCTTTGTTTGTTTATTTATTTATCATTTTATTTTATAATCTATTTTATGACACACACACACACACACACACACACATATATATACAAGAAAAATCTTGTAGCACCTGTCGCTTTTTGTGCACATCAAAAGAAACACCAATCCTCTCCCCAATCACCAAACATTTTCAGTAATACCATCGCACCAGACTGCACAATAATTGGATCGGGCAGATCTATCATTCCAACTTTAACCACAACTCAAGAGGTGTGGCAATCCTCTTTAGGAAGGGAGTCCACTTCAATCATACTAGAACAATCCAAGACCCCAATGGCAGATTTGTTATATTAATTGGCAAGCTCTATAACTCTCCAACTATCCTGGTTAATGTTTACGGTCCAAACTGGGATGACCTACTAAAGTAATAGCATCCTTACCTGATAACTCTGTTAACTCCCATCAACTCATTATAGCTGGAGACCTGAACTGAGTACTACATCCACAATTAGACAGATCCAACCCCAAACCAGACAGCTAACTGTCCAAATCTGGAGGTGTCCTTGATTCTTTCATACACTCCTATAGTCTTGTAGATCCATGGAGGAAACGAAATCCAGATGCGAAACAATTCTCTTTTTTCTCACCGGTTCACAAAAGTTACTCAAGAATAGACTATTTTCTTAGCAATAATAATCTCCTTCCACAAGTTACCAATTCCCAATGCCATAGTATTGTTGTGTCAGATCACTCTCCTGTACAGTTAGACATTCACTTTCCAGAAAATATCCGACTACAATGAACCCTCTCTGTTATTGTGTACCGAATTTGAAAAATTTATTGCTGAACAATTAGAACTTTTTCTTGAAATAAATGACCGTCCGGACATATCCCATCTCACTTTGTGGAAATCACATAAAGCGTACATTAGAGGTCAGATAATTTCATACGTGGCACGTAATAATGAACCCAAAAACGCCTTTCAGAAATTGAGCAGTCTATAACAGACATTCAATGCACACTAGACTTACATAAAGATCCTATCTCATTACAAATGGAATTTAATAATCTTTCTACTCATCAGGCAGTAAAAGATTAGCTTAGAACCAAACAAAAATTCTACAAACATGGCGAGAAAGCCGGTCGAATACTCACACACCAACTCTGACAGACAGCCAGTAATTCCCAAATTACAGAGATTTACGTTGGTCCGGGTGTAACCAGAGGTGACCCAAAACTTATAAACAGCCAATTTAAAAAACTGCTCCTCCAATCTATATTTGTCAGATGTAGATACGAATACAGCTAAAATGCAATCGTTTTTGGACTCTCTTGATGCCCCCACTCTTAGTCCAGACTTTCTGTCGCCGGGCCGCATTAACGCCCTTAAAATGACAGTACTACCTAGATTCCTGTATTTGTTTGTAACAATTCCTGTGTGTCTCCCAAAACAATTCTTTATCAAATTGGATAGTTAGATCCAATTTGATAAAGAGACTTCAGCTCTGCAGCTTCTCAAGATTAAAGCGGTGCTACAGTGTGTTATTCTTCCCCCCTACCCTTCAGCTTGCAATGGCTGTGCACAAAAACATATGATTCGACTATCAGTCCACTATGGGCAGGACTTGACAGTTCTGATTCTTAAATCCTTAGCTGGGGACAGCCCTAATCGCCACCGATCAGTACAGGGCCACTCCGCGACCTCCTCTCCCTGGCCCTGTTGACTCCCTCTCGCTGCGGACGGTCGTTCCCTTTGGCTGCATGAAATGCGACGCTCCCGATTTTATGCAGGATCCATGTGCTGTTGCAGCTTGGGCTGCAGCAAGGGTCACTGTCAGTCCTGTCTGTGAGGCATGGGCAAACAAGAATATTTTTTATACTCAGTAATGGATGTGATTTAAAATGTAATTACAATAGTTAAAAAAATAAAAAAACATACTTAACATTCCAACAGCCCGCCCACAGGCCGTCAGGTCCTGGCGGCAGCTTTTGGCATGTGCACACAACAGCTATGTTAACCTCGTACTCATGTGATACTCCGTTTGAAAGCTAAACTCCTCCCAATTTGACCAATGCAAACCATTTCAAGATACAATCGCCACAGCGGGTACAATCAGCGCTTCTGTCAGACCAACCAGTACAAGCAAAATTGACGCGACTCACTTATGAAGCCTCATAGTAATCCACCGATCCATTATATTAAAACAAAAACGGTCTTGTTACTTTATCAAAGGTCAGACAATCCAATCCATTAAAAATATTTAGTCCAAAACACATTATTCCATCAAAAAATCCCCAGGGACTGCTGCAGCATCGTTACATATTTGCCAGCAGACGTGGCTCGCATGTCATTAGGTCATTATACCCATAATAACGCTGATTTGAAAGTAAACCACTACGATAGCTTTATTCAAATTAGCCGCTGAACTCCGACCTTTCGAGTGACACCAAATCCGACCCAATAGGCGCTCACATGCCCCTTTAACAGCCTTCAGTAGCCAACGAGAGCCCGCGCTGTAAGAAAGGCCCAACCCCTATTATTTGGTGGGTAGGCTGAGCCAATTGCAAGCACTTGTGCCGATGACTGGCACTTTGTGTAGCCAATAAAATTTGGAAAATAACTAGATCCAGCTATAAGTAGGAAGTTCACGATCTACCAGCAAAAAAACGCACCTGCGTCTGTTTTAGAAAAAATACGCTAAGACGTACACTTAGAAAAACCTGTGTAAAATAGTCATTTTTCATGGTATTGGTATGAAATTTAAACAAGGACTAGGTAATTCTTTATACTGTACAAAAAAAACTACTCAATTACAGTAACTTGAGCAATTCATTATTTCCACCTCTTTTTTTCAGTTTCCCATTTGGTTTATGCTGCCTTAGATTTATTTCACTTTTATTATATTTGTCCCAATAAAACATCAGTGTAAAGCCCTGTGTAATGTAAAGTAATAATGAAGAGCCCCAGTAATTGATTACTATGTTCTTTTGTTAGTATGCAACATTCAGCTTTAGAAAGAGAAAACAAATTTTAAGGTTCAGTGATGTTGCAAATTGCAACCAATTTTCCAGTCTACCACAGCCCCTACCCTTTCAAAGAGTGTAGGATCACTATAGACAAAAGCTGCCACAGAACAAAAGGTGTCATCTTCTGAGACAGCAGAGAGAAAGAAATTAGGTTTCTTTAGGTAGATTAGTATTATTATAGTATTAGTATTAGTATTAAGAACTTAAATTTACTTAATTATTCAGTACCATATGTTACTGTGACTTGGCCACTGACAGATAACATGGAAAATATAAGCCAAGAGTGTGAAACATTGTTACTGTTTTTGCACCACAGCATTATAAACCACACATCAGATAAAGTTTATACAGACATTGAAAAGGGAAAAGGGAAAGGGGAGGAATGTGGATCAAAAAACAAACACAAACACTGCAGCACATGCTGTAATGTGAGAAACGCTGCATAATCCATTTTTTGAAGAGAGAAAAAAAATTGTCCCTATGTGGGATCAAACATGCAACATTCTAGGTTAGAGCCCTGCACTTTATCTGAGCTAACCACACACCATAGGACTGGGCTCTAATATTATTCCGTATATTCTCACCCACCATCTAAAATTAACAGTAGTAGTGCTGTTTGTCCGATTTCTACTGTACTTGCTACTGTAGAAACATGACGGCGTAACGTGGTAACGTCCATGAAAGGGAGGGCTCGCGGTCATGTAGATATAAATAGTTAATTCTAATGTAATAAAAACATAATGGTTTATTATGTAAGGTCTTTATACACTACTGAAAACATAGTTATAGATATTATATTGCATTTCTGTCACTAGATCTTTAGAAATATTATACACTGGATCTTTAAGTGTAGACATAAAGAAAAAGACTATACAAATTCTCCCGCTTTATTTTCATGTTTATACATCTAGAGCAGTTCAGTTTTAGCAAAAAGTAAATGTTAAAAATAAGAATTTAACAATTAAGTCACACTGCCAAATTAATGTAAAACAGCAGAAATAAACATGAAAATACAGTATATTATGCACTTATGCACAAAACAACATTCTTCAACAATAAATCTGTCAAGGTCTTAAAAATCCTGTGGCCTTGAAAACAAAAACGTGCTTCTGTTGATCTAAATATCTGTGATATAGCTGGATTAAAAGCAACAACAAAAAAGAAGATAAACAAACAAGAGAGCAAGATATTCTGAAAATAAATTCCCAAATAAAGCTGTGATCTAATTGTGCATAGCGCTCGTTTTAAAATATAACCAGGGTATATTCACATTCCACTTCCTTCTTCCCATTTCTAGGCTCCACTTTATCTATCGAAGGTGCCAACCAGCAGCTGGGTTCAGCATCTTGCTCAAAGACACTTCAACACTCTCTCAGGAGGAGCCGTTGATTGAAGCAGGAACCTTCAGATTACCAGACGACTGCTCTACTTCAAGATATCAGCAGTGTTGACATAAATGTCCTCCTCTGTTGCTTTTGGTACCTGCAATTAAAGGAAAAAACATCTGTAGTAAAGATACTCTGCTAAGCCGGTTTAATTACTTAAAGTAGAAAACTGCCTGGCTCTAAGTGAAAGTACCTCTTTTCCCTCTCCATTTGTTACGCCTAGGTTCATAGCAACTTTGCTCTTAAGGAGGCAATGGCGAGTCTTCTGAGCCCTGAAAAAAAAAACAATAGTACATTTAATGCACATGGGTATATATGAATCATCTTTGTTTTTCCTCTGCTCATTTATTAATCAATAGGATGAAACGCAAAGTAAGAAAAATAACACCATGGGACCTCATGGGAATGGACTCTGGATTCTCTTGTAACTTTCATAACAAAACATTTTAACAAATGTGAATCAGATTAATTGATTGTCAGTTAACATCAATAACAGAGATCTTTCAATCAGCATTTTTAAGTTACATAAAGCAACAGATAGAGCTTTCAAGAGGCCAAGTCATATTTGCTCTAGTTGCATGTGAATTGGTAAAATTTAAAAGACAATCCTCTAAATCTGATTGACATGAAACCACAATATTGCCCACCAGCGTTGGCAGTGGTGACTTACCTAATACAAAGGAAAAGTTCATTTTATACGACAGTGTCTATACACAACAAATTGTCAGTGTTAATAAAAGTAGATTTTTGCAGTAGCATTTTCATTAAAGATTTAAATTTAAAAAAGTTGCTTTTAGACAGGACCTGGTCCACTCATAGAACCAATATAGCTCAAAAATGTGAAGTGTAGCAGTTTTCCTGATGGACGAGGAGCCAAGCAAACACTGTATATTGTCAGTATTTGCACAGTAACGGTCATGTAGTGGGGATTTCGGCACATTTTTGTCTCAAGGTGTTGCCCTACCTGATAACTAACAGCAGCGCGCACACTACTACCAGTAGTGCAACAACAATTGTGATGAAGACTGCCAACGTCATTAAGTCTGAAACATACAAGGGACAATGGCAGATTAGGATAAAGAAGTTATTCAGACAAGAGATACTTATTCTGGTAGACGTTTTGACAGACTGTTTAAAAAATTCAGCTTGGTGAGTTGTTACTTCAGGTCATATTAACCACACTATAAAGTCGTAGTGGTCTTTTTTTTATCACTACTAACTCATTAATACCCCTTTCTTTTATCACGAAAAAATAAAATCTAAATAAAATCCCAGGTAGTTACACACACTCGAGCTAACACACAGTATAGAGTTTTCACAGATTTTGCAAATTTGTGTACGTATGTCCCTCTCCTGGCTTGTTTCCCAATTAAAAAGTACTTCTGTAGTGAATAAACTTTCCCCAAGTCTTTTATTTGATGTGGATGTGATTAGAATTATTTTAACCGATTGTCTTCATCAGGTAAAGGCAAAGAAGCAAACTTGTATTTATTTGTGATGAAATGACAAGTTATCATCTCCTGACTAGATAACCTGCCCCATATACACCAGGACAATATTCCCAGCTCTCAAGTAAGATCACAAAATACTACATTAATATTATTATAGTCTGTTAAGTATGTCAATAAGTAAAGATTGTTTAAAAATATACATTATTACATTATTGTCTTCAATAATAAATTATTATTTGACAAACAAATCAATTTAGGAGATAAGTCTGTGATGTTTCATAATTTATTGCCTATTAAATACTGATGTGTTCTCTTCTTCACTTTTACCTGAGGAAGATCATCTGTGGTTGAAACATTATATCAGGCACATCCACATGAAATAAAACTAGTCTGTCTTCTTTTGTGTGTGCATAATTTGGTAACTCTTCATCAGGCTACACCAATGAGCAGTTAAATGCACACTGCTCCTACAGTTAAGTTGACTGTTAACATTATGGCAGAAATCAGGATTAGTTTTGAAACATGATATACTGTGTGTAGCTATTTATCTTTAAACATTTTAGCATTAACACAGCTGCCAGCCTAGTGTCAGTATGCTTCTCTGATGTAATGTTTCTGACTTCTCAACTGAAATCTGCTGCACCAACATGGTTTAATCACAGGCCATCAAATCCAGACGCTTTGAGAAAGCCTGACAAAGTGCGGTATTGGACGCCCTGGGATGAAACCAGGCCGGCTGCACGGTGCGCAAAATTTTCTTCTGTAAATATTAGCTGGTAGCATTATTTGAAAGCTATACTACAGTGTTGTGGCTTAAGCTATTATTCTGCTCTTAAAGAAGTCATGTGTGCTGCGTGACTGCATTAGGAAAACAAAGCACCAGCAGACTTGGTACAATTTAAGTTACTTGAGTACCTGTAACAGAGTAAATGTAACTCACCTACCTCTTGGCAGTAGATAGATTTGTTTAAATAAATACACAATAAATATTTCATGTATTTTTCAAGAAGTCTTGATAGTTTCCAACTAGGGGTGTGACAAGATCTTGTGCCATGAGATGTCACCAGATTAAATTGTGACAATATTTCTATTCAGGTAAAAAGCTGTCTTGCGAGAAGCTGTCAAGTCACACATTAATTTCCACACGAAGTGAAATATAAATGTATAACTGATAAGATAGACTCGCGAGCGAATCAACCCCGCCCAGCTGATTGACACCGGCGTAACCACTCGCGCTGTGAGTGCGTTGTGACGAGTGGAAATGTAGCTGATAGAGTCTTGCAACACAAACATCTAAAAACTGAAGCCAGCCTTTCTCTGTTTGGGACTGTGAGCTGCACTTTATCTGAGCTGCTGAAGTTAACATGTGGATTTGTGGTGACATTTCTGCCTGATCAAAAATGTATTTTACTTTCGATTTCACATGCAACATGCAGTCCCAAACTGCGTTGGTCAAACGGTCTGAAGGAGATGTTACTACCTGTGAATAAATAATGTAATGTACAACAGAGTATAGGGCAGGTACACTTCTCATTAAATGATGACGTTAGTCTGTTAAAATTCATGGACATGTCAGAAAACACAATATGTGGGAGAGATTTTAAATGTGCAGAACTTTTTGAACATGTGCAGAAAAGATGCTGAAACACTGGAGCTATTAAAGTCCAGGAGTTTATAACTAAATTAAAATGTAATAATTTATCATTGAGGGGACTAAGCAGGGATGATATTACATGAGAAAAGTTGATCTACAGGAGACAGATCTGATAGCAGCACAGAATGACTGAGAACTGCATTGCATTATATTCTCTTGTAGTTAGGTTATAGAGTTTTAATTGCACCTGCCACCTGAATTTTGTGTTTTTCGTTATATAAATAAAACATTTTTCCATAAACTGGTGCAGGAAATTCATCATAATGCAGGAAATAAAGTGTTTAATTCTCAAAATTTTCATATAATTCAGCATTTAAGATTTCTTTTTAAACAGTGTTAAAATCTCCTCTTGTCTCGATCTCCTGAACCCAATCTCGAATCTCGTCTCGTGGGTTAAGTGTCTCGTCACACCCCATTCCCAACTAATCAATAAATATTGTGTTGAGCACAAAGACAAACCATATCTTTCTGCAGATGTTTGAGGCTGAAAAATGTAGGCATAAAATCGTGCAGATCCCAGAGAGTTGGAGCTCTGGCAGAGCAAGGGGGAAAAATCCCTCCACTGTGGTCGACTCCAAGTGATGAAGCTCTTCAGACCAGTGTCGTTTAGAGTCTCACTGCTGATTGCAAACTTGTCAGAGTTATTGACTGGAAACCCATCCAAATGCCACTGTAAAGTGGGAGAGGGGTTTCCCATACTCTCACAGGAACAGTTAAGATGGCCTGTAGTGTTGGTGCAATCAGTTGAGGGCAGGATCTGTGGAGCAACTGTAATGAATGTAGAGAGGACAGACAAGTTAAGAGTCAAGTGAAGTCATATTTGATTAAGTTTGCGAAAATGAAAGACGACATGTACTGATAAAAAGTGAAATGTTGTTTCCTCAGAGTCAATTATTTTCTATAACATGCTGGTGGGGGGGGTTATTGTGTTTACCACTACCACAGGAATAAGTGATTTGTTTGTAGCTATTTAACACAGGGTTAGGTTAGTTTTACCGTTACGGTAACTAAAATATTTATTTATCTGTCTGTGTATTTATATAATTGTGTCACATAATGTCTTCTATTAAGATGAGGACATGTGGTAACTAAGTACTAATGACAGATATAATCGTCGTGGATTTTCCCAGATGGAATACTCTAATGTGGGACAAACGTTTTCATGGCGGCGCCGAAGTTGCCTGTTTTCTGCTGGACAGGTAATTAAGGTAGTACAACTTTAGCTATGTAAATGAAAACTGTTGTTTGATAGCTTTAGCTAGAAACTGGCCATAATCACCTAGAGAAGTAACTTGTTCCCTTGTCAGTGTTTTGAAATATGTAACGTTAGTTGGAATGTAATTTCGTGTAACATTATTCTCCAGCGCTGTGTTCTGGTTTTGGTGGACAGAAATGTGTTGGTTACGTTGGTGAGACAATCAGCTGATTAATTGGAAATAAATCTGTACAGCATGGAAGTTCAGATCAGACTGCTTAACTTCACATTTTACTGCCCTGGTGGAAAAAACTTATTTATTAAAAGCAATAATGATAACTAGACCGCATGCCCCGTGTGCCTATCAAGTGACCAATAGGCCTAATGCTTATACTTTCAGAAGGGTATACATTCAGAAAGGTGTATTTTGATAATTCACATTGTAAATGCCCATTAAAAATGTTGTACTGTTGTATCTCAAGCTAAAATGATAGCTATTAGTACTAATTTGTGCTTCTATTGTATTTTAAACAATTTATAAATTGTCATGCTTGCACTAGATGTGATGTTTTTGAGATGTTCTTCATTGAGGTTAGTCCAGATGAGCCAACCCTCCCAAGCTGTAACAAAATGTATAATTACAGTACAGTAAAATAATGTATTACAGGAGTATATCCCCCATCATGTAGCACTTCATTTATTGATGTTATTTGTTTGATGAATAATTAACAATAATATTCGCAATACCGCTTGGTTTTACTGGGCAAGTGGGGCCAGTGCCCCGGGGACTCGGACTGCCAGGGGGCCTCCAAGCCTCAGACTTCCTAAGGAAGTTGAATGCCAGGGCCCTCAGTGCGCACAGCACAAGCCATTAATTATTTGACTTCCCGTTATTAGCTATTATTTTTGCTAGCTGCCCATCGGAGCCTGCCCTGACTTTGCTTGTGTCTTAGGTAAGATTTTTAATTGGCTGTGATGTATTAATGTGTGTCTGTATGTGTCACTATGCAGTACAGTTAAGTTCAAGAGGACACAGACTAGTACTAAAAAAGTACAAAAAAAAAAAGCTCAACTTTAGTCCACCAATGAGAAAAGAGAACCAAGTCCTTGATCTTTACTCAGCTAATAAACATTGCCTAGGTAATCAGCATTACAGCAATTTGAAAAACTGCTTTCTTCTTCTTCCAGGAGGCTCGAGGATAATTTATTATAGGAGCTTATATAACTCTGATTTTAGGAAATATGGTTCATCAATTGAACTGCCCATTGTTGTATGTAGAAAAGTATATAAAATGCCCATCAGTTTGCCAGAGGCTACGTCTTCAAATAGCCTGTTGTCCAACAAACAGTCTTAAAAACACAGACATTCAATTTACAATGGTCTTTAAGAGAAAAACAGCAAATCCTCGTATTTTGAGAACAGGACAATCATCGAAATAATTTTTCTGTTGATCAACTAATGAATGAGTAAAATAATGGTTTCAGCCATAATTCAAACTAAGTCAAGAAAACTAGGGAAGATGAATTTCAGTAGAGGACACGTTAACTCACATAAAATATCAGCTGTTAATCTTGTGGTAACAGATGACTCAGTGCTGCCATCTTGTTTGTTGTATACAGCGGTACAGGAGATTTCTTGTCTGTGATGGAGGTGAGAGGCAGTGAAGGTCAGAACAGAGGTCTTGAATTTAGTTTTGTCCTGATTCTCCTGCAGTGTCTCATGAATGTCACCAAGGCTGGGGGTCCATGTCAGAGCTGGAGGATGAGACAGACAGGGAGCTGGAGCAGAACACGTCAATTTCACTGAGGTTCCCTCCTTCACCTTCAGTGTGGACGGAGTCAGAGTCGGTCTGGGAGGACCATCTGGTGGGAAGGTACATTTCATCAATCCTCTCTGTTTTCATACTGTTTGCTAAATGCAAAACAAGGTCAAAGCAATTGTACAAGGGAAAGTGTGAGTATCTACCTTTGACAGAAATTTCCAATTTTTGGTCAGGAAAATTATGTTTCAGGGCGTTGTTGCATTGCACTCTGAAGAAATATTTCTTGCTGTGTTCAGGTTGCATGTTATTCAGAGTTGTGGTGCAGTCTTTTTTTGTCAAGTCTCCTGTCATTCTCCTTTTATTTTATTTTGTTGTGGAGTACTGCTATCAAACACAACAGTTTCTAGTGTAATTTTCCATAATGCTTTACATGTGTTATCCAAGTTTGATTCATAGTTGTTCTCTACATCAAAAGAGCAGGGGATGGTCACACAGGATCCTCTCAGAACCTCTATAGTCTGCGGCACAGTGACCTCAAACTGTCCACACAAGGCACCTGAAACACAAGACACACATCTTTGAATAAGAACAAGTGAATACTACTTTACAATGAGCTTTTTACTGTTTGGTTGCCTTGGTTGTAGATAGTTTTTATAGTCGTTGATCCAAATGTGACTGAAGATCAACTCACGTTGTAGCGGCCAGCCAATGAGAAGCAGAGTCAGAGCTGCAGTCATCTTTGTGTGTCAGTAGGAGTGAGAACTGTGGACACAATACAGAAGATGCAGATGGAAAAAGTTTTGCTGACCCCATATTTCTTTTTCGATCTTAAAAAAAGGTTTCAGGGATCTGCTGAACCTCAACCGAATACCAACACAATGACATTCTTTCAGATATGTTAGTATCTCATAAGGGCAGAGTGCACAAGTATTTACTCATTTAAGTAGTAAAGTGGACATATTATTGCTTTTAATCAATTCTTTAAAAAAAAACATAATAAACATGCTGCTTTTATTAGACAAGACATAGAAAATGAAATGATGATAAAATGGAAAAACATGAAGCAATGTGTTGAATAAAAGTGACAAATATATGGTGTCTTTAATATATCATTTTTTACTATAATATTATTTGTTTAGGAAACTAATATAGTAACAATGCCCCAAACCGCTATCGAATAAAAGATTAAAGTTTTAAATAGAAATGTTGCCACCTTTCACAAAGTTCCGGTGTCTTTTTTCTTCTTTGAAATTGTTCCATGATCTCAAGTTATTAAATGTTTAGGCCTATGTCTTAAGAACTTTGTATTATATTGTTGATGATTTAAGATGTTTCATAAAGAAGTTATGATGACTTACATTTTCTTCAAGTCTTTCGAGCAGATGATGTATAGAGAAGTGAAGTTCCTTTAAAGTTGTGCTGCTTTTTTAAACAGCCTGCAAGAACTGACTTGAAAATGAGGAAGTCACAAATGTGCACATGCATGTGACAATGTAATGTACCTTTTATCAAAAATGGTTTTAAACACTCACTCATCAGTCTCTCATCTGTCCATCTGTCCTGATCCTAGTTTTTCTTCATGCTTCATGTAAAAGTTGTAGCTGCCTGCTTTGTAACAGTGTACATAAATATTATAGTAAAAATACATACACACACACACACACACATATATATATATATATATATTATATTTAATTACGTGCACATGAAGAATTTTCACAACATGGTTATATATTCCGAGCTGCAGTTGCCCGTCGGCGTTGGCGTACTTGGTTGCAACCAAGTCCAGTTGCCTTTGATTTTAACCTTCGTTGGATAACTATGACCTGGATGACTGAGAATCTTCATAGACATCTAGGATCATGCCATTTAGGCGATATGGGGGTGCTCAATGTCTGATTTCACATAGAACTACCAGTTTTCGGATAATAAGTTAATATAGAGCCTATTACAATAAACATTTCAACATTTATTCTGTAAATAAACATAAAAACTTTCAATCCATCCATCTTCACTGGTGAAATTTTTTTTTGAAAAAATAAAACAAAACAATAATAAGCCTCAGTTTAGCTTCAGCTAGTAATCACCGTACATAAAAACACACATGATTCGAATATCAGTCGACTATAGGCAGGACTTGATGATTCTGATTCGACTATGTGAATCCTTAGTCAGAGCCAGCCTTATATATCAGGGGTGTAACGATTCAATTCATACCTCGCCCCCCTCCATTATGCATTATGGAGCGACAGTGAATGCACCACTGCAAATATCCCTCAGTAAAGTTGAGTTTATTAAACACGAGGACTTTATGAAACGTACTGCTGATGGAGAAAGTCAGCATACACACATATAGGGAAAGAGGCGGAACAAGACGGCATGTTTGCTGTGAGAGACCAGAGGTGTAGGCTAGGTGTGTGTCTGTGCCTGTGTGTGAGAGAGTGTGGGGAGAAGAGCAGGGGAGAGGAGCAGATTCAAGTAGTAAAGTAAAGCTGCAAGCAGCTTTGGGCGGGCCCTCACACTGAGCTCTACCGGTAAGGCTGTGAACTTGCCACGCGCTTTAGAAGCTGCACAAATGTGTTAATCATCACTTCCTGTGTCCCCTTAGGCGCTACATTGCACTTGGTGCTATGACCATAACTAAATATTGGCATGTAGATGTGTTCGGGGTGGGACTGTTATCAAGCACGTAAAGTTTGGTGCAGATGTGAGCATGTACACTGAAGTTACAACATCTTCCTCTTTCATGGTGAATCATTGATTTTTGGATGCCACGCCACGGGCGCGCCGTTCCACGAAAACTGTTTGTACAACTTTCAATCATCAATGGGTTTAGAGTAGACAGCGACAACCTGAAGTCAGTCAGACTAATTCTCTAGGAGGAGTTTTTAAAAGTGCAGAGCCTGTAAATCATCCAAAAATGACCATAAAATTCAAAATGGTCGACTTCCTGTTGGGTTTAGGGCATTGCTTCAAGAGGCTTTTTGGTACGTCTGGACATGATACATGTGCCACAGAAATTTAATACATGTTCGTGAAATGTGCCATGGGGGGCTGCTTCGTTAAACGTCATATCCTGTTGCCAGCAAGTGGCCCTATGACTGTGGGTGAATGTCGGCATGGACATGTGTTCAGGGCAGAACTCAATTTAAATGTGTAAAATTTGGTACAGATCTGAGCTTGTACAGTTAGGTTACAACAACTTCCTGTGTCATGGCGAAGCATGGGAATTCGTCGCCATGCCACTGCCACACCATTAACCGAAAACTCATGGCCAACAACATGGCCTCATCAATGTGTCAAGGTTTTTCTGGGACAGTTTGAAGTTGATACATCCAACTTGCTAGGAGTAGTACATTACAGCGTAAAGCGTGTCATTTCCTGTTGCCAGCAGGTGACGCTATGACATTGAGTGAATATTGTCATATGGATGTGTTCAGAGTAGGACTTTTGTTATACTATAAAATTTGGTGCAGATGTGAAGTAATGACATCTTCCTGTTTCATGGTGAATCAAAAAAAATCCCTTCAGTTTCAATAGGGACTTGCACAGTTCGGGCGCTAATAAACAATAAAATTAAGCTTAATGAGAGCTCAACTGTCCAATGAGCGCGTGTGACTTTTGTGTACACACACACACACAGATATAGTGTGTGTATATATATATATATAGCATTCCAGCAAGAAACATCCATGGGACCAGTCCAGACAGGATGCGGTGGCACTCCTCATACATAATTTTAAAACATGAGAGTGAAGTAAGTTATGGACTAATGCAAGATGGGAAGCACATTGAATATTAAAATGTTGATTAGCTGGACAGACTGGGCAATATGGATGCACATCTCAGTAAATAATAAGCATCACATATTCAGCCAAGTAATTTTATATTTGAAAATGTATTGAAGGAAACCTAGAGGACCATGTTTGAATGGGCCTGATAGTTTTGGTTTGTGCCTCCTTGTCTCATCTTAACATACCCAAAGTCCCAAATGGGGCTCTGTGTCTCTCAGATGGTCTGAGGGGGATACTACCATACCAGCAAAGCAATAACGCAGACTTATCCTCCCCACTTATAGGAAAGATCCATGTCCTCTTGTGATACAGTACACACACACATATATATATATATATATATATATATGGCATATGTATATACATATGTATATGTATATATATAGCGAGTTGGAAAGGAGAATATGTCTTTTAGTGAATCTAAAAACAGAATTGCCCTTTGTACCCTTCCATAGATGCAGGTAGTAATAATTATTCAGTGTCCTTCGCACCCAGACTGAAAACTTAAGTAGCATTCACAGACACCAGTCATAAAGTACTTAACAGTCAAATAAATAAATCAAATAAAGAAAACAAAGATAAAACACAAGACAAAATATTTGAAGGAAACAGACATAAGACACAAGTTAAAACTTAAAATACCACATTCTACCTAAATATCTGTTTGACAAATTTCATGTTTTTAAATGTATACTAAAATTAACGGGAAGCCAGTGCTGATACTTTAAAATAGATGTAATATGTGACCAGTTGTTGGATATTGTTAAGAGCCTAGCAGCAGCATTTTGTATGGTTTTAAATGGTCTAACGAAGATTTAAGGCAGGTAAAAAGAGAAATATAGTAGTCCAAATGTGATGACTAAGGCTACGTTCAGACTGCAGGCCTTAATGCTCAATTCCGATTTTTTCCCCCAGATCAGATATTTTTGTTTGACAGTTCACATCGCTTAAATGTGGCCCATATCAGACTTCAGTGTAAACTGTCCACGGCCTGAGAGTGACCCGCATACGCAGAACAATAACACGACGTCACGTATAGCATGCTGTTGTGAACAGGGCCACAGAGGTTAGCTGCGGTTAGCTCTGGTTAGCTCATACTTGCTAACCCTCCCAGTTTTCCCAGGAGACTCCCATATTTCTAGTGTAAGAAAGGGAATTTGTGAGCAGATGATAACAAGATACAGATGAAGAGGGCCACATGTTTATGATGGCTTTTGGTGGAGCTTTGTCGTTTGTAGCGGCTCCATCTACAGCAGAACTGTGAGCACAGCTCCTCTAGAGTAACAACAAAGTCGCAATTCCGACTGTCCTGACCAGGCCACTTTTAGAGAGATCCGATCTGTGTCAGATTTGGACCACATGTGGAAGTGGCCCAAATCCGAACTGGAAAAGATCAGATTTCATGTGACTTGGCCTGTTCACACTGTAAAAAGATCAGATCTGAGTCACATTTGAGCAAAAAAAATTGGATGTGGGCCCCATTGGCCTGCAGTCTGAACGCAGCCATAAACACATGAAAGAAACATGATCAAGTTAAGATTGGTCATAAATCACACATCAGTTCTTGAAGTGGGCTGCTATACATTTTACTCTTTGGCATACCGGGACTTTTTCCTTGTGCTGGGGTCATGTCAGAATGTCCCCATTACTTTATAAAGCAGTTGTTAAAAATAGCTTGCAAAGAGAAATGTTAAATAACAAATGAATATGGGTTTATTTGCACAAGAAAACATGAATGCAATTTAAATATAAAAGAAGAATTGTCCTAAACAATATAAATACATTTACAAAATACATTGGTGAAGAAAATGGATCCAGAATGCAGTAATTTAAGAGATTAATGCTCAAAATCTTCTGGGGGAGGACCTCCACACCCCCTGCTTGTATCTTTCACCATCAAACTTTTCTGACCCCGAGTGTATCGTCACACCCCTAAGGTTACCACCACTTTTCTACACAAAGTGACAACCTTGTTAACAGCAATCAGCAAACATTTGAATTTTTGTACTACTGGTAAGCTATACAGTCCCCTCCAAAAGTATTGGAACAGTAAGGCAAATTCCTTTGTTTTTTGGGTTTAAGATCAAAGATGAGTAGGAGACAAGAGTTCAGAATTTCAGCTTTTATTTCCTGGAAGTCACCTCTAGATGTATTAAACAACTTAGGACATATCACCGTTTGTATTAGACCACAGCATTCTTAGGTGAGCAAAAGTAATGGAACAAATAATCTTAAAGTAGATAACATTTAATATTTGGTGGCATAATCCTTGCTTGCAATAACTGCCTCAAGCCTGCGACCCATCGACATCACCAAACTGTTGCACTCTTCATTTGTGTTGTTATCCCAGGCTTTTACCGCAGCTTCTTTCAGTTCTCGTTTGTTTCAGGGGGTGTTTCTCCCTTCAGTCTCCCCTTAAGGTGATGCTCTATTGGGTTAAGGTCAGGTGATTGACTTGGGCAGTCTAAAATCTTCCACTTCTCCCCCTGATGAAGTCCTTTGTTTTGTTGGCAGTGTGCTTTGGGTCATTGTCCTGCTGCATGATAAACTTCCTCCAGATTAGTTTCAATGCATTTCTCCGTAAATTGGCAGACAAAATGTTTCTGTAGTTGTTGTATGTTATGTAGTTTCTTTCTTTTTCGGGACATTCCAAATT